TCCTGGGCAGCCTGGCACACAGCAGGTGTTCAGTAAATGTTCCCAGGGAAGAGAAGGAACAGGGCTGGCCCCTCCTCTGGTGGTGGGGAAAGGAGGATTCAGCTGGCTCCTCACTCAGCCCTTGGAGGTCTCAGGGTCTAAGGAGTGTCTAGGCTGGCTAGGGCCAAAGTCTTGCATGTCTGAGCAAGGTCGCCACCCACCCCCACCCACCCCAGGGCGGTGTGCTCTTCCAGGCACCCTTGCTTCCTGTACATGTGGTCACTAGCCCTGACGGACTCGAAGGCCCAGTGGTTACTGAGGAATCAGTCTGCCCCCTGGGCCAGCCGATAAGGGGCCTGTGTTGGTGTTGCAATGAAGTGCGTGTGGCAATCGTTCACAGGTGGTCTCAGGGCCAAAGGCCAGCTTCACCGGAAGGAGGTTAAATGGCAGGGCGTTTGTGAAAGCAGGCTTACAGTGCCGTCTCAGGAGGCCTGGGAGAGCCAGAGCTGATCTCTCTGGGCTTGATGGAACCTGCAGAAAACAGGTTTATTGTCTCGTCAAAACCAGGATTTTCCCAAATCATTTCCAGATATAGTAGGTGTGGCCAGAATTGGCTGGGAATTGCATTTGGGGTTTTACGTTTCAGAGAGTCTAATTTGACCACTCAGAGAATTTCCCTGGAGTATAATAAAGCCTTCTTGACTCTTTCACTGCTCCTGGCTGAGCAGGCTATCAGATGCCCCCATGCACTGCCTGTCTTTGGCAAGCAGACCACCCAGGGGCTGGTGAGGATTGGCTCGTTCCCAGACTGCCTGTGCCAGTTCATTGGATTACAGACATTTGTGGGGTAACTGTTCCAGGAGCAGGGAGACAGAATAGAGGAAAACCTGTCCATGAAGCTCTAGAGGGGAGATAAAAAAATAATAATAATAAGTAAAATGTACAGTATATTTGATGGTGACAAATACTGTGGAAAAATTAAAACCATAACAGGAAAGATAACAGAAAGAGTCTTGGGAGTGGTTTGCAGTTTTGAATAGGGTGGCATTGAAGGCTTTGCCTAGAGGTCAGCTATGACCCAGAGGGGCTGAGGGGCGTAGCCCTGGGGTGTCATAGTTGAGGAACAGCAGACAGGGTCAAGTGGCAGAGAGGAGAATTCTGGGGGTAAGGGGTGAAGTCCCAGAAGCAAAGAGTGGGGCAGAGGAAAGACTTGGTCTGGTGGTGGTAGAGAGTAGAGGCTGCCGGGGAGTGAGGAGGCCCTGCAGTGGTGAAAGGTGGCTGAGCCCCAGCCCAGAGCTTCCGCTGTGAGAAGCAGGCAAGATTTGCTGTCAGATCCAGAGTGACTGCAGGGTTTCCGACTTGAGCACCTGGAAGGATGGAATTGCTATTAAACAAGGCAGGGAAGACTGGGAGAAGAGTCCATACCACCTGTGTCTGGGGAAATTGAGGCAGCAGATGGGTGTATGGGAAAGGTTCATTTCCAGACAGGGTCACCTGTCTCATGACAGGTCCCACTGGATGTCATTTAAAATTGTTGTAAATGGACGATTGCTCTGCTTGAAGTAAAGCAGCATAGAAACATTAAGAACAATTCTTGGCACCTGGCTTTATAAAGTTTGGCATTCACTCTGGCACTTTATGAAAGGCATTAATCAGGTCTGAGTGTGGTAGCACCTGAGACCTGCATTCCGATTAATCAGGAGGTGGACTGACAGTCGGGGGCACCAGCCACCCTTCCCAAGGAGGTGATGGGCTTGGTGACCTCAGACATCTGAGGAACCAGCTGTCATGGCCACCTGTTGGCTGGATCCCTGTCACTTTTGAATGTTCTTTGCAAAGAGCCCCCAGGAAGGTAAAACCAAAGGCCGGGGCCTGCCTCGTAGACCCAACTTCTCAAAGAGGCTCAACAGGCATTCACAGAGCCCAGGGCCAGTCTGCCCCATGCCCAGCCCCGTTCCCCCATGCACAGAGGGAGAACGCCTCTGTGCTGACTGCCTTTGCCTGAGGTTTGGCCCCTTTAGGAGAGGACCTGGAAGGTCTAGTGCTCTTCCCCAGTTCTGGCAGAAGTCATGGCCACCAACAGCTGGGACCCCTTGGCTTAGGTGCCCAGGCCAGAGGAAGCAGGGGGCCAGGAGGTGCAGAGGGGCTCTGGGTACACGTGAGAGAAGCCAGGTAACCGGCCATGCTTTTCCCTCCTTGGACCATGACCAGTTGGGAGCAGCCCCCATACCTTCACTCCAGGTCCCCCTGGAGAGCAGCTGCTTTTGCACTGGTCACAGGACTTGGCACTGCCAGGGAGGGGAGCTGTACCACCTGCTTGCCTGGAGCACAGGTCTCTCTTTGCCAGAAAGCATTCTGGTTGTTTCCTGTGTTCCTGTAAAAGAATGGGGAGCAACCATCCCTCAGTCCCAAAATTGCCATTAGTTGAGTCTCCACAGTTGTGCTCCTGGGAAAGCAACCAGTGAAAGGAGAACATTTTCCTCCAGGACAGCTGCCCTGCTGGGCCCAGCTTTCAATGTGGGAAGGACCCTGCTGGCCCCACCTGTCACTCAGGTGCCATCCAGTTCTGGTGGGGCCTTTTTCTGACAACCACAAAATCAGGCCGTTCTGGCCCAAGAGAGGGAACAGCCCTGCTGTGTTAGTTGTGGCTCTGGGCTGGGGCACTGAACGGGCACAGCTTGGGTGCTAGGAAAGATGGGGGGTGACATCCCTGCCTCTCGGACAATTCTGCAGGCCCAGGGAGCAAATGGGTCTGTTCATTCTGTGTCCAGCTGAGTGTGCCAGAAACTCAGTGCCCCAGGGGCTGCCCTCTGAGACCCTCCCTGGTCCCCGGATGCTCCCCGAAATCTTTTTGGTTGGTGAGATCCTTGGAGCTTGCATCTGGGCAGTGGACCAGCTGGTGGCACTTGGAGGGTTATGTCCAGCTGTCCTGGAGAATCACCTTTGCCTTATTACACTTCTCTTGGATCTCCTCCTGCGTTATGCTTTCCCAGCCCCTTCATTAGTTCTGCTGTGACTGGCTGTGGTTGGGGAGGGCCCAGGTCTCAGCTGCCATGCGCTATCAAGGGTTTGGAGCCCCACCTCTTCCCACAGTGCGATTACACAACAGGAAGTGGCGAGGGTCAGCCGGAAAGCAGGCACTTCTCTGCATAGTCCACACACCTCCAGAAATCACTGAGTCGCTTCTGGTACCACTGCCCCCTTCAGCTTCTCCCCCTCATGCTACCCTCTGCTTACCTGTAATGGGCAATTTGGTTGGATTTATTCTGATGGTCTCTGTGCACTTAGCAGTTGAAAGAGATATCTGTCATTTCACTATATAACATCAAACACACAGTGACCTAAATGACTGTGACAACAGAGTTCAACCATCGTCTAAAATTTCAGTGTTATTTATGACACCAAGAGGTTCAGTGCCTACAGTATCTCCTTAATCCAGTCTAAATCTGGAGCCCTGTCTCCCAGGCGTGCCCATGTGTCTCTAACGGCTGTTAATAACAGCTCCTCTAGGCACCCTGTTTGCAGACAGAAAATCCATCTGAAGCTTTTGCATCTCATGTGGCTGTTAAAAATTGACATTTCTTTATTGATGTAATTGGTTCCTGCCAAATACTAGGGGACAAATAAAAGTGGCTGAACTCAGAGACAAGCAGAGAATCATTTGTTCATGGAATTGCTGGCCAATTGATGCTGGTGGTTAAACAAGCTATCATTTAAAAGAATCTCAAAAGAAGAAGCAGACTTTTTTGATAAGTTAATGTTCAGAGTGGCTGCACCAGGAATGGGACCAGTGGTCCCAAGGGTCAGAGTGTGGAGGCTGTCCCTTCTCTAGCCTCCAGCACTGCATCCTGGGCTTCCCCACTTGTTTCGCTCTCCCCACTGCTCCCTGCATCCTGGCTGGCTCCTCAGGCCTCGTGCTTCTCTCCGCCTGTGGATTTCCCACTTGCTTTGCCCTCTGCTGCAGACCTCCTCCTCCAGGCAGTCTTCCACAAGTCCCATCTCTTTGGCTGTGCCCTCCCGGCATACGGCTTCTGCTTTGTCCACCTTCACACTTTCAGTTAATCAGGTAACGTCCATCTCTCTGTGGCCTGGGTCTGCCTTACTTATTCTGTGATAACAGCACTTGACAGCTGGCACACAGTAGGTGTGCAGTAGTGCTGCTGACAGACCTAATGAAAGAGCCCCAGGGACCTCCAGGTGTGGTGGATCTCTCCTGGCAGCTCGGGAGACTCCCGGGGATGCAGGGGTGGGGGTGGATGCTCCCAGAATCCTGGTCCAGTTCTGGCTCATCGCCCTGCAGAGTAATTACCTTAGACCAGCAACGAGTGTGGAAGATGATAGAGGCCGTATCATTGATTTTCCTATAAAGGTGCAATTTGTAGTGAGAGGACCTTCCTGGCAGTACCTCACCCATCTTCACTGATGGCCCTAGAGGAAGAGTGGAGAGGGTTTCCCTGTGACTTAACCTGCAGCAGCCACCAAGGCCTCCCTGGTGGGCACTAGGCTCATGGCCATGGTGAAAAGGCAGATGTCCCCTGAGCCTTGGGAAGACTGGAGCCCTGACTGTGCCATCTGGGTCAGGCAGGAGCACCCTGTCCTGGGCCAGTGGGAGATGTGGAAAGAGGCTTATACTTGCCCCCAAGTGAGGCACCCAGGGCTCCTGGGGAAGCCTGCCCATCCAGGCCCCCAGCTTCTCCTCATTGTCCCCCGAATTTCCCCTCATTCTCCAAGCTGCCTCCTCCTCTTCCCCCAGCTTCCCTGTGCCCTGCTCCTCTAGGCCAGAAACAATGCCCTCAAACCATGCTGGGGGCTGAGAAGTCAGAAGGAGCTTCCTGCCAGTTTAACCTCAGGCCTCTCCTCTCCTCCCCCAGCTCCAACCCGCCTTTTACCCTTCTCACTGCTTCCTGGAAGCCAGCCTCTTCCTCCATCTCTGCTCCACCCTCTTCCAGCATTTGTTGAGGGAATTCAGTGCCAGGCAGCAGGCTGGCAGAGAACTTCTGAGAGCTGGCAGGGGACACCGACACGCAAACCAGCCTCAGATTAGCAAGTGCACCTCAGTGGGGCTGGTGTCAGAAGCCGGTGGGGAGACGCCGTTGGGATGTGGCATGAGGGACTCAGGCAGCTCTTCTGATCCTGACCCCCCAGGATGCTGATGTGAGTGAGGGTGGAGGGTCATAGGATCAGCACTTAGGGGACAACATCCAACATCGTCTTTCCCATTTCACAGCTGAGGGAACTGAGGCAGAGGGTATGCTCAGGAGCCAGGAACCGTGCAGAGCCTGGCAAGCCCTGCCAGGGACTGAATAGGCAGAGAGGCCTGGGCTGGAAGTGACAGGGAAGGCTGTCTGGTAAGTCACCCACTCTTGGGGCCTCAGCTTGGCTGCCAGATTCTGTTTGCCATCACATTAATTGCATTTATTATTCATAAATTTCCAAACTGGCTTCTGGGGCCTCAATTTTCCAAGCCCCTTGGGCTGTCACAGCTGAGGCCCCTCTATATCAGGCTTGCCAGGGATCCCCTGTGGCTTTAAGTCAGGATCAGGCAAACGCTGGCTCAGATGAGGGCTCTTTGAATTCAGAAATGAAGACAAAGGATCCCCAGCTTGGTGGCCTTCTGGCAGCATTGGGAGGCTGGGCCTTTTCTCCCCTCTGCCTGGCAGTGCGGGTGGATGAGCTGCCACCTCAACCACCCACACTCAGCTGCCCCCGAGCAGGGGCTCTCCACTGCTGCCTTCCACCTCACCCCCAGCACCTGCTTTGGCCCATGTCCTCCTCTTCCCCATCCCTCCTGCTGCGCTGGGCCTGGGCCTCGGGGTTCCCTCCCTGTGAAGCTGGTGTCTCTCGGCTCCTCCTTCCCAAGCTGTCCTCAAATGTTTGTAACTGTCCGCAGTGTTTCTGTGGCCCCGGCTGCCCTGTCTCAGTCGTTCGCCCAGAGCAGGGAAGGCAGGCCTGAGGAGGGCCAGACTTCACGGGTCACTTGCTGGATTTCATCCTGCTCCACTGGCTTCTTCCTGACGCTGTTCCCCGAGGCCAAGTGACCACTCAAACGGCATGACCTTTCTCAGCCACTTCTGGATGCCCCCAGCTGGCAGCATTCTCTCCCAGGTGAATGGGTTTGTTTTTCTCTCCCCATCCTTCATCCCTGATCAGGTTTCCATTCTGCAGAGGTCTCTTCTTGCAGAAAGACAGTTACCCTGAGGGGGCATCAGAGTCCATCTGCAGCTCTCCACTTCTCAGAAATGCATGTTCCAGCCCCTGGGGCCGAGGGAAGGCCAGATGTGCCAGTGTCCCACAGCAGAGGTCTGACTTTTGGAAGCCATTTCTGCCTGCTTTGCCTGACATGATCAAGGAGACAGGAGGGCCCAGACAGGGGTTCGAGCCTCTAGTTCCTAAAGGGTTAGCCTTAAAAGTTTCTTTCCTGCCAGAGAAAAAATAGCAAACATAAAAACAGACACACTAGACCAAGCACTGGAGGACAACCGGCAGCAGCCCCTGAAGCCGGGCCTTGCACACCTGCCATTGCCCTGGGCACACAGCGGACGTGCCGGAAGGCCTGTGCCAGGATGTCTTGGACTCTGAAACAGGGGAGACCCAGGGCCCACCTGTGGGGATGGAACACTGGTACATCATGCAAGCACCATCAGGCAGTGAGAGTGAGCAGGTTTTGCTGTACACGAGGACACGCACGGGTGTCTCCGGGCACTGTGGGCAGAAGAGGCTGGACTCAAGGGCGTGTGCTCTATCATTCCACTTACATAAAGGTCCCCACCAGGCAAAACCATGGTGCTGGAGTAGCAGAGGGCAGTGATGGAGCCTACCAGGGACCAGAAATATTCTGAATCTTGATCTAAGAGATGCTTTCATGAAATTTCATCAATGTGGACGCCTAAGATGTGTGCATGTTACTGTATGTATGTTGTATTTCAATGAATAGGTTTATCAAAAAATAATGTCCTTCACAGCAGGGCTGCAGCATGGGGCATGTCTCTTGTCCTGAGAGGTCCCTATACCTTCCAAATTTATAGGCCTCTCAGGAGCTACAGGCTGACATGGCAAAATGACCATCTGTGTGCTTTCAGAATTATTCTGTTGGCCAGAGACACAAAGGAAATGAAAAGTTATATGCAATTTATGAATGTACTGCCTGGGCTGTCTGTTAAGGCCAAGACCTGAATATTGAGTCTATTATAAGCAATTATAAAAAGGATAGCATTCCTTAATGTTTCTCACTTGATAGGAAGGGTTTTAAATATGGGACATTAGTTAATAAAAAGTCCCCAGAAGCCTATTGTAATATATTACCTAATTCCTAACAGTTCATAGTCACTGAAATAGGTAAAAGGGGAATGTAAAATTAATATATAGTTATTATTAAAATTGTCTTATAAATTAGTTAAGTGCCCTGGAGGTACAGAGTGGGCATGATTATTCTAAGACAGTCTCAAGGGCCATGGTGCACCCTGTGTATTTGTGGAATGGGAATGCCGTAGCCAGGAGGGGAGCAAGCTCTAGCTCTGTAGTTTTAAGGATAAAACATGCTGAAAGAGTTGAGAACTAGCAACCAGACTACAAAAATTTGATAAAGAAATCTCTTCCCTAGTTACTGAAATTTCTGGGGAGGCCAGTGCTTTGAGGCATCACCAAGCCTGTTCTTTGCCAGCATCCAGGAAAGATAGCTGGATTCCCATGGGTTGGAATTGGTTGGGGGCCACAGACAGGTGTTTGTGTAGCTCCTGGAGACCACCAGTTTCCCAGAACTGATGGGGCAAAAATAATGCCCTGAAAGTGTTTGCTCCCAGCAAACCCTGCTGCAGGGACGCAGTGAAGGTGGGTCTGAGCCGCATGCCCAGCCACAGCTGCGGGTTGGTACAGCTGAGGGGCCATGGTGCCTCTGGAGGACAGGTGCATGTGACTCCGGCAGTGTCAGAGCCACAGGCTCAGGTGGCACGTGCAGGGAGCCACAGCTTCCCACCTTTATGGAGCAGCAGTACACTTGATTGGGGGATTTAGCAGCTGGGAATGGAAATCCACTCAAATGCAAGTCATTAGCTGAATGTGAGTTCTCTTTCCAGGAGCTTTGGTGAATGTCACGTTTTGTGTGTGCTAGGTGATTTACCTAGTACCTGCTGAATCTGTTTCCAGTGGCAGGCTTGCTTCCCCTGATGGCACAGTCTCCTGGGCAGAGAAGCTTTCTTCTCCCAGGGGAGACAGAGAGCTGGGGGTTTTCCCAGCGACAGCACCAGAGGCAAATTTGCTTTCTGCTTCAGTCCTTCAGAGCTTCACATTCAGCCGCTTCCTGTCCCTGGCTCCCTCCATTCCAGCAGGAGCCCAAGCCATGCGTGTTTTCCTAAGGGGGGTGTGGTCCGTGGAAGGGAGCAAGCTTGCTGTGGGCAGCTAGAGGAAGCAGGTGAGGCTGTTTGCTCACCAATCTCTGACATCACCCAGCTCACCCTGCAGGAGGGACACCTTCAAGTGCACACAGAGGTTTTTGCCACAGAATCTGATTCCAGCAAAGAGAGATAAGTGGTCTTTTAAAGCAAGGCTGAGCAGGTACTCATGTGGCTTGGATTCTCCTCACACCATACCAAAGAGCCTTGCCTTGAATTGTGGTCCTCCCAAGCTAGACAGAAGGTTTTCACAAGGTGCGCCATGTGGGTGGCAGGTTGTGTGCGCCTGCGACCTCTTGTGGCCGCTCCTCAGAGTCATCCTGGATGGTGGCCGTGTGGGTTGTGTCCACTGGTCCCAGCACATCTGAAAGGCCTTCTGGGGCCAGGGGACTAGGCAGGGACCAGGGGAGCTAGTCTTTAACAAGTAGTTCTTGTTCCTTCCAAAAAAATGTTTTCAAAGCGAACACAGCTGTCTCTGGGAAAGATACTGCATGTGCCAGCAGGAAATTTAGTCACAAGATATGGAAAAAATCCTGTGCTGCAGAGGTTCACTAACCGTTGTTGCTTTAAGAGACAAACTTCTAGATCTCTCCAGGGGTACAGGCAGACTTTGATGTCCTGGGATCACAATAGGTGGAACTTACACCTCCTCTTTGAAGTGGAAATCTCTTCCCCTGGGTGAACTGAGGCACACTGCACCTGTGGGCTCTGCTATAATCCGGTCAAGAGTCCTTCACGGGGACAGCTGGGTGTTTTCCAACTTGCCAGTGTGAAGGACACTGCGATGATCAGCCTAATCTATCCACCATGTGGGTGTTTAACTGATAACCTCTTTGGGGTAGATTCCTGCAATTGGAATTGCTGGGGGAAATTTTGATGCTCAAAGCCAAACTGCCCTCTAGAAGTTCTTCTTCCTCACAGCAGTGGATGGTACTAATGTCTGGTGAAGCACCTCCTACATGCTTCCTGGGGATTCTCTCACTGAATCCCATGAAGTAAGGAGTGGCAAATCTGGGCTTTATAGGGCACAGAGCCAGGAGGTCCTTAAGGAACTGGCCTGAGATCCACAGTGGACAGATGGGTCTTAGAAGAGCTAGGTGGCNGGCCCAGTAGCTCTAGGCCATACACAGGGCAGAGAGAACAAGCCCTGCCTAGGGTCCTGGGCAGCCTGGCACACAGCAGGTGTTCAGTAAATGTTCCCAGGGAAGAGAAGGAACAGGGCTGGCCCCTCCTCTGGTGGTGGGGAAAGGAGGATTCAGCTGGCTCCTCACTCAGCCCTTGGAGGTCTCAGGGTCTAAGGAGTGTCTAGGCTGGCTAGGGCCAAAGTCTTGCATGTCTGAGCAAGGTCGCCACCCACCCCCACCCACCCCAGGGCGGTGTGCTCTTCCAGGCACCCTTGCTTCCTGTGCATGTGGTCACTAGCCCTGACGGACTCGAAGGCCCAGTGGTTACTGAGGAATCAGTCTGCCCCCTGGGCCAGCCGATAAGGGGCCTGTGTTGGTGTTGCAATGAAGTGCGTGTGGCAATCGTTCACAGGTGGTCTCAGGGCCAAAGGCCAGCTTCACCGGAAGGAGGTTAAATGGCAGGGCGTTTGTGAAAGCAGGCTTACAGTGCCGTCTCAGGAGGCCTGGGAGAGCCAGAGCTGATCTCTCTGGGCTTGATGGAACCTGCAGAAAACAGGTTTATTGTCTCGTCAAAACCAGGATTTTCCCAAATCATTTCCAGATATAGTAGGTGTGGCCAGAATTGGCTGGGAATTGCATTTGGGGTTTTACGTTTCAGAGAGTCTAATTTGACCACTCAGAGAATTTCCCTGGAGTATAATAAAGCCTTCTTGACTCTTTCACTGCTCCTGGCTGAGCAGGCTATCAGATGCCCCCATGCACTGCCTGTCTTTGGCAAGCAGACCACCCAGGGGCTGGTGAGGATTGGCTCGTTCCCAGACTGCCTGTGCCAGTTCATTGGATTACAGACATTTGTGGGGTAACTGTTCCAGGAGCAGGGAGACAGAATAGAGGAAAACCTGTCCATGAAGCTCTAGAGGGGAGATAAAAAAATAATAATAATAAGTAAAATGTACAGTATATTTGATGGTGACAAATACTGTGGAAAAATTAAAACCATAACAGGAAAGATAACAGAAAGAGTCTTGGGAGTGGTTTGCAGTTTTGAATAGGGTGGCATTGAAGGCTTTGCCTAGAGGTCAGCTATGACCCAGAGGGGCTGAGGGGCGTAGCCCTGGGGTGTCATAGTTGAGGAACAGCAGACAGGGTCAAGTGGCAGAGAGGAGAATTCTGGGGGTAAGGGGTGAAGTCCCAGAAGCAAAGAGTGGGGCAGAGGAAAGACTTGGTCTGGTGGTGGTAGAGAGTAGAGGCTGCCGGGGAGTGAGGAGGCCCTGCAGTGGTGAAAGGTGGCTGAGCCCCAGCCCAGAGCTTCCGCTGTGAGAAGCAGGCAAGATTTGCTGTCAGATCCAGAGTGACTGCAGGGTTTCCGACTTGAGCACCTGGAAGGATGGAATTGCTATTAAACAAGGCAGGGAAGACTGGGAGAAGAGTCCATACCACCTGTGTCTGGGGAAATTGAGGCAGCAGATGGGTGTATGGGAAAGGTTCATTTCCAGACAGGGTCACCTGTCTCATGACAGGTCCCACTGGATGTCATTTAAAATTGTTGTAAATGGACGATTGCTCTGCTTGAAGTAAAGCAGCATAGAAACATTAAGAACAATTCTTGGCACCTGGCTTTATAAAGTTTGGCATTCACTCTGGCACTTTATGAAAGGCATTAATCAGGTCTGAGTGTGGTAGCACCTGAGACCTGCATTCCGATTAATCAGGAGGTGGACTGACAGTCGGGGGCACCAGCCACCCTTCCCAAGGAGGTGATGGGCTTGGTGACCTCAGACATCTGAGGAACCAGCTGTCATGGCCACCTGTTGGCTGGATCCCTGTCACTTTTGAATGTTCTTTGCAAAGAGCCCCCAGGAAGGTAAAACCAAAGGCCGGGGCCTGCCTCGTAGACCCAACTTCTCAAAGAGGCTCAACAGGCATTCACAGAGCCCAGGGCCAGTCTGCCCCATGCCCAGCCCCGTTCCCCCATGCACAGAGGGAGAACGCCTCTGTGCTGACTGCCTTTGCCTGAGGTTTGGCCCCTTTAGGAGAGGACCTGGAAGGTCTAGTGCTCTTCCCCAGTTCTGGCAGAAGTCATGGCCACCAACAGCTGGGACCCCTTGGCTTAGGTGCCCAGGCCAGAGGAAGCAGGGGGCCAGGAGGTGCAGAGGGGCTCTGGGTACACGTGAGAGAAGCCAGGTAACCGGCCATGCTTTTCCCTCCTTGGACCATGACCAGTTGGGAGCAGCCCCCATACCTTCACTCCAGGTCCCCCTGGAGAGCAGCTGCTTTTGCACTGGTCACAGGACTTGGCACTGCCAGGGAGGGGAGCTGTACCACCTGCTTGCCTGGAGCACAGGTCTCTCTTTGCCAGAAAGCATTCTGGTTGTTTCCTGTGTTCCTGTAAAAGAATGGGGAGCAACCATCCCTCAGTCCCAAAATTGCCATTAGTTGAGTCTCCACAGTTGTGCTCCTGGGAAAGCAACCAGTGAAAGGAGAACATTTTCCTCCAGGACAGCTGCCCTGCTGGGCCCAGCTTTCAATGTGGGAAGGACCCTGCTGGCCCCACCTGTCACTCAGGTGCCATCCAGTTCTGGTGGGGCCTTTTTCTGACAACCACAAAATCAGGCCGTTCTGGCCCAAGAGAGGGAACAGCCCTGCTGTGTTAGTTGTGGCTCTGGGCTGGGGCACTGAACGGGCACAGCTTGGGTGCTAGGAAAGATGGGGGGTGACATCCCTGCCTCTCGGACAATTCTGCAGGCCCAGGGAGCAAATGGGTCTGTTCATTCTGTGTCCAGCTGAGTGTGCCAGAAACTCAGTGCCCCAGGGGCTGCCCTCTGAGACCCTCCCTGGTCCCTGGATGCTCCCCGAAATCTTTTTGGTTGGTGAGATCCTTGGAGCTTGCATCTGGGCAGTGGACCAGCTGGTGGCACTTGGAGGGTTATGTCCAGCTGTCCTGGAGAATCACCTTTGCCTTATTACACTTCTCTTGGATCTCCTCCTGCGTTATGCTTTCCCAGCCCCTTCATTAGTTCTGCTGTGACTGGCTGTGGTTGGGGAGGGCCCAGGTCTCAGCTGCCATGCGCTATCAAGGGTTTGGAGCCCCACCTCTTCCCACAGTGCGATTACACAACAGGAAGTGGCGAGGGTCAGCCGGAAAGCAGGCACTTCTCTGCATAGTCCACACACCTCCAGAAATCACTGAGTCGCTTCTGGTACCACTGCCCCCTTCAGCTTCTCCCCCTCATGCTACCCTCTGCTTACCTGTAATGGGCAATTTGGTTGGATTTATTCTGATGGTCTCTGTGCACTTAGCAGTTGAAAGAGATATCTGTCATTTCACTATATAACATCAAACACACAGTGACCTAAATGACTGTGACAACAGAGTTCAACCATCGTCTAAAATTTCAGTGTTATTTATGACACCAAGAGGTTCAGTGCCTACAGTATCTCCTTAATCCAGTCTAAATCTGGAGCCCTGTCTCCCAGGCGTGCCCATGTGTCTCTAACGGCTGTTAATAACAGCTCCTCTAGGCACCCTGTTTGCAGACAGAAAATCCATCTGAAGCTTTTGCATCTCATGTGGCTGTTAAAAATTGACATTTCTTTATTGATGTAATTGGTTCCTGCCAAATACTAGGGGACAAATAAAAGTGGCTGAACTCAGAGACAAGCAGAGAATCATTTGTTCATGGAATTGCTGGCCAATTGATGCTGGTGGTTAAACAAGCTATCATTTAAAAGAATCTCAAAAGAAGAAGCAGACTTTTTTGATAAGTTAATGTTCAGAGTGGCTGCACCAGGAATGGGACCAGTGGTCCCAAGGGTCAGAGTGTGGAGGCTGTCCCTTCTCTAGCCTCCAGCACTGCATCCTGGGCTTCCCCACTTGTTTCGCTCTCCCCACTGCTCCCTGCATCCTGGCTGGCTCCTCAGGCCTCGTGCTTCTCTCCGCCTGTGGATTTCCCACTTGCTTTGCCCTCTGCTGCAGACCTCCTCCTCCAGGCAGTCTTCCACAAGTCCCATCTCTTTGGCTGTGCCCTCCCGGCATACGGCTTCTGCTTTGTCCACCTTCACACTTTCAGTTAATCAGGTAACGTCCATCTCTCTGTGGCCTGGGTCTGCCTTACTTATTCTGTGATAACAGCACTTGACAGCTGGCACACAGTAGGTGTGCAGTAGTGCTGCTGACAGACCTAATGAAAGAGCCCCAGGGACCTCCAGGTGTGGTGGATCTCTCCTGGCAGCTCGGGAGACTCCCGGGGATGCAGGGGTGGGGGTGGATGCTCCCAGAATCCTGGTCCAGTTCTGGCTCATCGCCCTGCAGAGTAATTACCTTAGACCAGCAACGAGTGTGGAAGATGATAGAGGCCGTATCATTGATTTTCCTATAAAGGTGCAATTTGTAGTGAGAGGACCTTCCTGGCAGTACCTCACCCATCTTCACTGATGGCCCTAGAGGAAGAGTGGAGAGGGTTTCCCTGTGACTTAACCTGCAGCAGCCACCAAGGCCTCCCTGGTGGGCACTAGGCTCATGGCCATGGTGAAAAGGCAGATGTCCCCTGAGCCTTGGGAAGACTGGAGCCCTGACTGTGCCATCTGGGTCAGGCAGGAGCACCCTGTCCTGGGCCAGTGGGAGATGTGGAAAGAGGCTTATACTTGCCCCCAAGTGAGGCACCCAGGGCTCCTGGGGAAGCCTGCCCATCCAGGCCCCCAGCTTCTCCTCATTGTCCCCCGAATTTCCCCTCATTCTCCAAGCTGCCTCCTCCTCTTCCCCCAGCTTCCCTGTGCCCTGCTCCTCTAGGCCAGAAACAATGCCCTCAAACCATGCTGGGGGCTGAGAAGTCAGAAGGAGCTTCCTGCCAGTTTAACCTCAGGCCTCTCCTCTCCTCCCCCAGCTCCAACCCGCCTTTTACCCTTCTCACTGCTTCCTGGAAGCCAGCCTCTTCCTCCATCTCTGCTCCACCCTCTTCCAGCATTTGTTGAGGGAATTCAGTGCCAGGCAGCAGGCTGGCAGAGAACTTCTGAGAGCTGGCAGGGGACACCGACACGCAAACCAGCCTCAGATTAGCAAGTGCACCTCAGTGGGGCTGGTGTCAGAAGCCGGTGGGGAGACGCCGTTGGGATGTGGCATGAGGGACTCAGGCAGCTCTTCTGATCCTGACCCCCCAGGATGCTGATGTGAGTGAGGGTGGAGGGTCATAGGATCAGCACTTAGGGGACAACATCCAACATCGTCTTTCCCATTTCACAGCTGAGGGAACTGAGGCAGAGGGTATGCTCAGGAGCCAGGAACCGTGCAGAGCCTGGCAAGCCCTGCCAGGGACTGAATAGGCAGAGAGGCCTGGGCTGGAAGTGACAGGGAAGGCTGTCTGGTAAGTCACCCACTCTTGGGGCCTCAGCTTGGCTGCCAGATTCTGTTTGCCATCACATTAATTGCATTTATTATTCATAAATTTCCAAACTGGCTTCTGGGGCCTCAATTTTCCAAGCCCCTTGGGCTGTCACAGCTGAGGCCCCTCTATATCAGGCTTGCCAGGGATCCCCTGTGGCTTTAAGTCAGGATCAGGCAAACGCTGGCTCAGATGAGGGCTCTTTGAATTCAGAAATGAAGACAAAGGATCCCCAGCTTGGTGGCCTTCTGGCAGCATTGGGAGGCTGGGCCTTTTCTCCCCTCTGCCTGGCAGTGCGGGTGGATGAGCTGCCACCTCAACCACCCACACTCAGCTGCCCCCGAGCAGGGGCTCTCCACTGCTGCCTTCCACCTCACCCCCAGCACCTGCTTTGGCCCATGTCCTCCTCTTCCCCATCCCTCCTGCTGCGCTGGGCCTGGGCCTCGGGGTTCCCTCCCTGTGAAGCTGGTGTCTCTCGGCTCCTCCTTCCCAAGCTGTCCTCAAATGTTTGTAACTGTCCGCAGTGTTTCTGTGGCCCCGGCTGCCCTGTCTCAGTCGTTCGCCCAGAGCAGGGAAGGCAGGCCTGAGGAGGGCCAGACTTCACGGGTCACTTGCTGGATTTCATCCTGCTCCACTGGCTTCTTCCTGACGCTGTTCCCCGAGGCCAAGTGACCACTCAAACGGCATGACCTTTCTCAGCCACTTCTGGATGCCCCCAGCTGGCAGCATTCTCTCCCAGGTGAATGGGTTTGTTTTTCTCTCCCCATCCTTCATCCCTGATCAGGTTTCCATTCTGCAGAGGTCTCTTCTTGCAGAAAGACAGTTACCCTGAGGGGGCATCAGAGTCCATCTGCAGCTCTCCACTTCTCAGAAATGCATGTTCCAGCCCCTGGGGCCGAGGGAAGGCCAGATGTGCCAGTGTCCCACAGCAGAGGTCTGACTTTTGGAAGCCATTTCTGCCTGCTTTGCCTGACATGATCAAGGAGACAGGAGGGCCCAGACAGGGGTTCGAGCCTCTAGTTCCTAAAGGGTTAGCCTTAAAAGTTTCTTTCCTGCCAGAGAAAAAATAGCAAACATAAAAACAGACACACTAGACCAAGCACTGGAGGACAACCGGCAGCAGCCCCTGAAGCCGGGCCTTGCACACCTGCCATTGCCCTGGGCACACAGCGGACGTGCCGGAAGGCCTGTGCCAGGATGTCTTGGACTCTGAAACAGGGGAGACCCAGGGCCCACCTGTGGGGATGGAACACTGGTACATCATGCAAGCACCATCAGGCAGTGAGAGTGAGCAGGTTTTGCTGTACACGAGGACACGCACGGGTGTCTCCGGGCACTGTGGGCAGAAGAGGCTGGACTCAAGGGCGTGTGCTCTATCATTCCACTTACATAAAGGTCCCCACCAGGCAAAACCATGGTGCTGGAGTAGCAGAGGGCAGTGATGGAGCCTACCAGGGACCAGAAATATTCTGAATCTTGATCTAAGAGATGCTTTCATGAAATTTCATCAATGTGGACGCCTAAGATGTGTGCATGTTACTGTATGTATGTTGTATTTCAATGAATAGGTTTATCAAAAAATAATGTCCTTCACAGCAGGGCTGCAGCATGGGGCATGTCTCTTGTCCTGAGAGGTCCCTATACCTTCCAAATTTATAGGCCTCTCAGGAGCTACAGGCTGACATGGCAAAATGACCATCTGTGTGCTTTCAGAATTATTCTGTTGGCCAGAGACACAAAGGAAATGAAAAGTTATATGCAATTTATGAATGTACTGCCTGGGCTGTCTGTTAAGGCCAAGACCTGAATATTGAGTCTATTATAAGCAATTATAAAAAGGATAGCATTCCTTAATGTTTCTCACTTGATAGGAAGGGTTTTAAATATGGGACATTAGTTAATAAAAAGTCCCCAGAAGCCTATTGTAATATATTACCTAATTCCTAACAGTTCATAGTCACTGAAATAGGTAAAAGGGGAATGTAAAATTAATATATAGTTATTATTAAAATTGTCTTATAAATTAGTTAAGTGCCCTGGAGGTACAGAGTGGGCATGATTATTCTAAGACAGTCTCAAGGGCCATGGTGCACCCTGTGTATTTGTGGAATGGGAATGCCGTAGCCAGGAGGGGAGCAAGCTCTAGCTCTGTAGTTTTAAGGATAAAACATGCTGAAAGAGTTGAGAACTAGCAACCAGACTACAAAAATTTGATAAAGAAATCTCTTCCCTAGTTACTGAAATTTCTGGGGAGGCCAGTGCTTTGAGGCATCACCAAGCCTGTTCTTTGCCAGCATCCAGGAAAGATAGCTGGATTCCCATGGGTTGGAATTGGTTGGGGGCCACAGACAGGTGTTTGTGTAGCTCCTGGAGACCACCAGTTTCCCAGAACTGATGGGGCAAAAATAATGCCCTGAAAGTGTTTGCTCCCAGCAAACCCTGCTGCAGGGACGCAGTGAAGGTGGGTCTGAGCCGCATGCCCAGCCACAGCTGCGGGTTGGTACAGCTGAGGGGCCATGGTGCCTCTGGAGGACAGGTGCATGTGACTCCGGCAGTGTCAGAGCCACAGGCTCAGGTGGCACGTGCAGGGAGCCACAGCTTCCCACCTTTATGGAGCAGCAGTACACTTGATTGGGGGATTTAGCAGCTGGGAATGGAAATCCACTCAAATGCAAGTCATTAGCTGAATGTGAGTTCTCTTTCCAGGAGCTTTGGTGAATGTCACGTTTTGTGTGTGCTAGGTGATTTACCTAGTACCTGCTGAATCTGTTTCCAGTGGCAGGCTTGCTTCCCCTGATGGCACAGTCTCCTGGGCAGAGAAGCTTTCTTCTCCCAGGGGAGACAGAGAGCTGGGGGTTTTCCCAGCGACAGCACCAGAGGCAAATTTGCTTTCTGCTTCAGTCCTTCAGAGCTTCACATTCAGCCGCTTCCTGTCCCTGGCTCCCTCCATTCCAGCAGGAGCCCAAGCCATGCGTGTTTTCCTAAGGGGGGTGTGGTCCGTGGAAGGGAGCAAGCTTGCTGTGGGCAGCTAGAGGAAGCAGGTGAGGCTGTTTGCTCACCAATCTCTGACATCACCCAGCTCACCCTGCAGGAGGGACACCTTCAAGTGCACACAGAGGTTTTTGCCACAGAATCTGATTCCAGCAAAGAGAGATAAGTGGTCTTTTAAAGCAAGGCTGAGCAGGTACTCATGTGGCTTGGATTCTCCTCACACCATACCAAAGAGCCTTGCCTTGAATTGTGGTCCTCCCAAGCTAGACAGAAGGTTTTCACAAGGTGCGCCATGTGGGTGGCAGGTTGTGTGCGCCTGCGACCTCTTGTGGCCGCTCCTCAGAGTCATCCTGGATGGTGGCCGTGTGGGTTGTGTCCACTGGTCCCAGCACATCTGAAAGGCCTTCTGGGGCCAGGGGACTAGGCAGGGACCAGGGGAGCTAGTCTTTAACAAGTAGTTCTTGTTCCTTCCAAAAAAATGTTTTCAAAGCGAACACAGCTGTCTCTGGGAAAGATACTGCATGTGCCAGCAGGAAATTTAGTCACAAGATATGGAAAAAATCCTGTGCTGCAGAGGTTCACTAACCGTTGTTGCTTTAAGAGACAAACTTCTAGATCTCTCCAGGGGTACAGGCAGACTTTGATGTCCTGGGATCACAATAGGTGGAACTTACACCTCCTCTTTGAAGTGGAAATCTCTTCCCCTGGGTGAACTGAGGCACACTGCACCTGTGGGCTCTGCTATAATCCGGTCAAGAGTCCTTCACGGGGACAGCTGGGTGTTTTCCAACTTGCCATTGTGAAGGACACTGTGATGATCAGCCTAATCTATCCACCATGTGGGTGTTTAACTGATAACCTCTTTGGGGTAGATTCCTGCAATTGGAATTGCTGGGGGAAATTTTGATGCTCAAAGCCAAACTGCCCTCTAGAAGTTCTTCTTCCTCACAGCAGTGGATGGTACTAATGTCTGGTGAAGCACCTCCTACATGCTTCCTGGGGATTCTCTCACTGAATCCCATGAAGTAAGGAGTGGCAAATCTGGGCTTTATAGGGCACAGAGCCAGGAGGTCCTTAAGGAACTGGCCTGAGATCCACAGTGGACAGATGGGTCTTAGAAGAGCTAGGTGGCCTCTCCAGAAACTGTGCCCTCAGCCCCTGTGGTGTACACACGCACACACACACACACACACACACACACACACACACCTGTGAGTGCCTGTGTGCTCACTTGGGCCTCAGAGTTAATCGTATTGTTATGATAATTCATCTTTACCAATCTGATAAGGGAAAAGTAAAATCCTTTATTTGCACTTCTATGACTACTGGCAAGGTTAAACTTCTCTCACAGATATTTCTCGGGCATTTGTGTCTGTGGCTTATCTGCCCTTGGCACAATTTGCTGTTGGGATTGTGGTTGACTTACTGATCTACAAGAGCACTTTATACCAGGACTCATCATGTTACTGTTCTATTTGTCAAAATATTGTTCCCTATTTGATATGCAGACATTTTAAGTATAAAGAGTCAAGGTGGATCTTTCCCTGCACAGTTTATGCTTTTTCCATAATTACAAAGGCTTTTTCTATTACATCAGTACAATTTAACTGTTTGTATCTGTTTTCTTCTATCTTTATGAGATTTATTTTCTTAAAAAAATTTTTTTTTATAATTATGAAGTATTTCAACACTGGTTTGTATAGTAAAACATATCCACACATCTGTGTGGTTCTAAACTCTTTAATCTGCCTAAATACACTGAAGTGCAATGAGTAAGCAAAGATTCTGGCATTTTTGCCCCCCAGGAGTGACTAGTCAGCCCACTGTCTTTGGAATAATCTCTTTGCCCTACGGATTTAAAATTCTGCCTTTACTGTATTTTAAATTCTTAATGTGTGTTACCAGCATGGATAGCCCTTGCAGCAGCAACAAGAGAACCCAAATCTCAGTGGCTTAGCACAGTGGAAGTTTATTTGGGGCTTATGTTACAGCCTGAGGCAGGCCTCGGTGGCTCTCCTCCAGCAGCGGTGGGGCTTGCTTCCATTGTCTGACTCTGCCCCCTTTGAGAGGGGAAAGGAAAAGCACAGAGAGCTTACCACCTCTTCCAGCCCTGCCTGGAAGCAGCACAGGTCACTTCCAGTCGCACACCTATTGGTGAGAGTCAGTCACATCGTCCCAGCCTACCTGCAGGCAGTCTGGGAAATGTGCCCAGAAAGAGGAAATGGAGTAGTGAGCGCACAGCTAGGTCTCCCTCCAGGCTTCTCCAACAGATGAAATGTAAGGCTGTGTGTATGTGTGTGTGCACACTTATGTGCATGTGTACAAGGCTTGTTTGATCATTAAGCATGTTCAGGCCAGTCGTGCCTGCCACCTATTACCCTTTCCTCAGATGTTTACTGAGGACCTACTATGTGCTCATCATAAAGCCCAACCTTGGATACAGAATAACATGGGCCTGCCTCTAGGAATTCCTTTCAAAACTGGTAGGAAAAAGGGGCAGGCACTGTGGCATAGCCATATGCAAGACTGAAAGCCATACGTTGGGTGTATGTGAGGTGGGGAGGCGGAGGGGGAGGGGCTCACCTGTGAAGGCTGTTGGTGGTGAGAGGAGCAGGAAGCCATTCAGAGACCCCTGCAGCTTCCACCTCCTGGGTGGGCAGGTGGTCCATGGGGGATTTAATTAAAGGCTAGGAGGGCAGCCAGGTGGACAGGGTTGGGGCAGGCAGCCATGAGGAGGGGCTGCAGCAGTCCTGGTGGGAGGGGACCTGTGGGGAGCTGGCAGAGAGGGGTTAGTGTTGAGGGAGGAGTGCGGAAGGGAGAGCTCAGAGCAAGCTGGATGCAGCCTTCCAGGGTCAGCACAGCAGAAGGGAAGGCACACCTTCACCGTGTGGCTTCCTTGTCTCCCGAGCTCTTATCATGTTCCGTGGGCTTTTTGAATTTCTGAATTGTGGTGATTCGGCTTGTGTGGGTCCATCTGTGGGAGGCTTTCCGGTATGTGCAGGCAGGGGAGTGGCTTCTCTGCCTCATGGCTGGATGGGAGAAGGGAAACCCGACTCTCAGCACATAACCAGTACTTCCACGTAGGAGCGTGACTACAGGCCAGGAGCCAGGAGGGCTCTTCCAGACCTGGCAGTTCACCATGATTAGGTGCCCATCTGTCAGGACGAGGGCAGGGGGACAGTTCCCCCAAGTGTCTGTACTGCTGTATGGCTCTCCGAGGTGGGATTTCACAGAAGAAGCCCTACTAGTTGTCTGCTGGCTTTGGTGAGCAGCGTTAGAATCATAAAGAAAGAATATTTAACTTTGCATCAATAGGCAAAGAGTAATTAAAGTATAATTAAAAGCATGAATTCTTCTAGTTATTGGTTTTATATAATGTGTATTTAAAAATAAGACATCTGTTCAGACTTTCTTTCGAATCTCTCCAGAAACCAAGAAAGGATACCATTTTAATTAAAAATGGATTATTTCAAAAACAGTTTAATCACCCTGTCATTACAGGACTTAGACTTTATTAATTGACTATTGATAAATAGGTGTAAGTGGCCAGAATTTTTAATTCATGGGGGTAGAAGGAGTATTTTTAGGAACCTGACCTGCATCTCTAGGATGTCAGCAGGAAAAAGGTTCCTGAGTTAGTTCTTTAGTCACATCTCCCATCCTCTGTGGGCCCACTGGATATCTGCAACAGGTCAGGGACAGATGGGCAGCCCCTGTGTCTGTCCCCGCCCCCACCTCTGACCACTGTGGTGTGAGCAGGTGCTGAGGCCCTGGAAGGTGGCAACACTGTGTCCTGATAGCACAGAACCTTGGCCGAGGCCCTGCAGGTAAGTCTCTGTGGGAGCACAGCTGCGGGCCCCGCCATGCTGGAGGCCTCTGGCCAGGCCAAGCCCCTTGCTCCAGTGCTGCCCCTGCCCCTGCCCCATGCTTGCAGAGTATCTGCTGGCAGCCCCTCCTCTTTTCAGGGTTGATCTCTCTATGGGAGCAGTGTGAGTGCAAACCCTATTTATCATCTTAAGTAGATAAAGACTTACAAAGTGATAAATGGTATTCCCATTGTTCCTTCAGCCGAGTGTGACTCGAAGAACATTCACAGTTGCGAGCGGGGATGGGAGGACTCATTAGAAGAGGGGTCTTCAGCAGCTCACACTAAAGAGCCAATATGCTGCCATGAAAGGCAACCACAGGGTACAAAGGGCTGTTGCCTCCAGGGGCTCCCCCAGCCCAGCCCTGAGAGACTGTGTCTGGGTCTCCCCGCACTACTAGTTGGGCTTTGGCCTGGGCTTTGTGGCTCCTGGGCACTTGGAGAACCTTCTCAAAGAAGAGACATTGTGTCATAGGTACTTGGGACAGAACTCACCTGGAGAGGCATCCAGGGTTCTTGCTTCCTGCAGGTGACCAGGAATCTGGGCTGCAGTGAAACCACCCCCTGTTCCCATCATCCTAGAGCAAGGCCATCTCCTGCTGCATATTGACACCCCCAGGTGACCAGTTCCCTGTATTTGGTGCCTGTGCTTAAAATACCTGAGTGGTTTGATTGTGGAAAGCAATATGGAAGTTCCTCAAAAAACTAAAAACAGAAATACCGTTTGACCCAGTAATTCCACTCCTAGGAATTTACCCAAAGAAAACAAGATGCCTGATTCAAAAAGACATATGCACCCCTATGTTTATCAAGCACTGTTTACAATAGCCAAGGTACGGAAGCAACCTAAGTGTCCATCAGTAGATGAATGGATAAAGAAGATGTGGTGCATATACACAATGGAATATTATTCAGCCATAAGAAGAAAACCAGTCCTACCATTTGCTAGAGGGTACTATGCTCAGTGAAATAAGCCAGACAAAGACAAGTACCAAATGATTTTACTCATTTGTGGAGTGTAACAACAAAACAGCAGCAGACTCACAGATTCCCAAGAAGGAACTAGTGGTTATCAAAGGGAAGGGTGTGGGGAAGGTGGGTGGGGAGGGAGGGAGAAGGGGATTAAGGTGCATCATGATTAGCACATGTAATGTAGGTGGGTCACGGGGAAGGCAGTGCAGCACGGAGAAGACAAGTAATGACTCTATAGCATCTTACTGTGTGGATGGACAGTGATTCAGGGGGGTGGAGGGGAACTTGAAACCACAGTGTTGCTCATGTGAAATCTTCATAAGATTGTATATCAATGATACCTTAATTAAAAATAAAAATACCTGGGAGGTTTGAGTGCACATGGGCCTGGCCGGTGCAGTACCCTCTACTTCTTCCTCCTCACCCCCTCCACAGCCTTGAGGGGAGGGCAGTTGGGGGGGAAGGTGAAGACCTGAGATCCAGAAGATGGGTCAGAGAAGGCTGGGGTGCAGCCATGGCTTCCTGTCCCAGAAGTGGAGGGCCGCAGAGAGCCAGCCCAGAGCCAGGGCTGGCCCGGAGAGCCCCGTCACTTAGGACCACCATGAGAAAGGCACTGACATAAACAGTGCTTTCCAGAGGAAGTATATGAGGCACATTTGTGAAATATTTTAAGATTATAAGGCTGAGAAAGGAAATTTGACGTTTGGAAATAAAGTAGCACTGGGATCTATAGAAATAAAACAAAACATATGAAAGGGATTCAAAAAGCAAAGCCCTTTCTCTATCTAGAAGGGATGACCAGGGTATCCCAGCCTGACTGTGCTACCTGGAATACTGCAGGATTGGTATGTAGGAAGCACCTGTTTGGTAGAGGGTTCCAGGTTTTTTTCTTCCACTGGGGGTGGGAGGGGAGTTTGTGGAGTTGGGGGGTCATGGCGGGTGGTGCCTGCAAGGATGCACCAGGTGGGATAGGGGAGCTGTACAACCGTGGTCCCAACCTGGACATCTGCGAGAATCATCACCCCAAACCGGCTGTGTCTATGACCGACTTTATGATGAGCTATAAATAAAGGAAGGTGGAAACATTGCTGAGCAAGGTCCAGCCAGGATTCAGGGCTGAAGGGAGCTCTTACTCGCATTTGGCAGAGCAAGTGTTGTGCTAAGAACTTGCATCTTGTCTGAGGCCCTCAGCAGGCAGATTTGCTAAAAGTGCCTTTGTACCCCGAGACCCCTTTGTACTCCAAGGTGTAAGGACAGAGGGGCCCGTTTGGCCTTTGTCCACGGGGTCCACAGTGGCCTGTTGTCCGAGGCTGCTGAGCCAGGGATGGGAGCAGGTGCAGGCACAGTAGAGAAGCTGGGTTCTGTTTGAATCCATCCCACCAGCTCTTTTCCAAAACCTGGCAGATGCCATCTGGGGACAGGAAGCTTCTGGATCAGTTTCTTTCCACCCAGAACAAAACACGGGCTTTTCCTCAAAGAAGCCTTAGGGCAGAATCTCCAGCATCAGTCACTCATATGACACCCCCACAACTTCTGCCAAATCCTTGTCCCACCTGTAGTATTGTTTGCCTAATAGGTTTTTTTCTTTAAATATATTTTAAAAGAAAGCTTTATATTCCTGTCATGAGTGAAATCCAATATAATTTGACACAAATGGAAGGTGACACTTTAAAATAAATACCTAATGCATAAACTGTGTTTATTAGTGTACCCCATAATGTCATTTCACAGACCCTTTGGGAAATACTAGGTCAAAGAAATAACTTTCCCTTCCCTGCCTTCTGGGGAGGTGAGGAGGGGGTGCAGACATCCCTTGGTGGGAAATCCCTCTGGATCAGGGTGAACAAGGAGTATCTCCCTACACCCCTTCCTGGTCCTGTGGTTTGAGCCTCCCTGGATGATTCCTGTGGTGACCTGCTGCACTTTTAAAGGGGGAGTTTCCAGTTTGGGGCCAAGAAAGGTGTTACTGCTGACATCAGTAAGGACTGGCGAGACTGTCAGATGTGAGCAGGTTAAGACAGTTGGCAAGTTGTGCCTGTCTTTTGTAGCTCTTCTACGGCCAGCCTTCCGATGCTGGGGCCCTGTCACATGCTAAATAGTGTTAGCCCCAAAGAGGCCTGGATTCACAGACCTAGAACTTTCCTCGTGAGCCATGTGCTGCAGGCTCCCAGTTCTGTCCCATGTGCTGCCCCCGTGCCCAGCACTGACCGTACCCTGCCATTGTCTGCAGCTCCTGCCCCAGGTTTGGATCCCTTCCCTCGGGGATCAGCAAAGAAGGTACTAGAGACGCTTGCCACATAAATGATGGTCAACACCACTAGCTAGTGTCCTTCATATATAACTCTCCTAAGGACCAATAAGAAACAGACAAACATTCAGTTTTCTAAGAAAGAAATAGGCCATTCAGAGAGGAAGAGATATAAGGAAACAAATATATAAACAAGTTCAAACTTGCCAGTTAACGAAACGACAAAACACCTTTTTGTTTGGCCTACCAGTTGCAGTGGGTAAACAGGCCTCATGGTGAACTGCTTAAGACCCTGAAAATCCTTAAGCCTTCTGGGGTCCATTTGCCAGAACATGCTCTGAGACTCAAAAATATGCACGTGCTCAGTGATTCTCCTTCTAGGAATTTAGCCTGAGGCCAGTGAAAAGACACTTAGCCATGAGTGTCTATCATAACGCAGGGCT